ACCTAAGCCAGCAGGTAGTAATTTCCCAAGGGGTCCCAGACTGGGAGAGGGCACAAGCCGGGCTGAGGGACCCCCCCCCGGAGTGCACAAATTTTTGTGTACTGGGCCTCTAGTCTTTATATAAAAGAAAATTTAATTGTATTATTCAAATCCTCTATACCTTTACTTGTTTCCTGTTAATTAGTCACATTATGAAACTGTATTGTGTTATTTTAATGAGAGTGATTTTACAATTTTCCTTGTATTTCTAAGAGTTTCCATGTTACAGATTTCTCTATGCTATTTACTGTATGAAAGTTTAGGGATATTTTATCTTTGTGGATTGTCAGCAAATGAAATCAATGCAAATAAAGATTGAGCTAAGCATCATTCACATTTCCCCATCCCCAAGAAAACAAAATACAATGTACCCCACCAAAATAGGTCCACTTACATTACTTGCAACAGAAAGAACAGCCATTGCATGAAGAATGTCTTGCCAAACACCTATGCTATGAGCTTTAGATGCTACAGGTCTCCTGTACTGAGTAGTAAGTTTCCAGGCATCCACTCGAATCTCTAAAATATTATTCATGAGAGCAAGAACAGGAGCCAAAGGAAAAGAGGCCACAAATAAGGTAACAAATCCAAATTGGATAACTGTAGGGAAAAAGGAAAAATTTGTAAACTCATTATTATGGAGGAGAAAAGAGGCACTCTGCCCAACACCTGCCACTTCTGGCATTTTGGAAGGATCTATACCAGAAAAGTACTCCAGGTCTCTTTCCATCTGCCCACTTCCTCCTCCTTACAAGAAGCATAGTGATGTATTTGCTTGCTAAAATAGAAAGGAGAAATAGGGCATGCACAGCTCAGTTCTGTCCTTGCTGTTTCTTTTGAGATCTGCTTATCTAAAGAAAGTATCTATTCTTCTTAGATAAGATATTCTTCTTAAAACACAGTCTTTTATTATCCTATATAATAAAAGGATAATATGCAAATTGACTGAACAGCAGAATGACCAGAATGCCTGCGGCCCCTTGCCCTGGCTGGCCAACCCCCAATGGCCCCCATCAGGCAGGCTGGCTGGACCCCACCAGTGCACAAATTCATGCACCGGGCCTCTAGTAGTCTATAGTTAGGCCTTATGCTGGTCTAGACTTTACATTGGTACAGCCATAGTAGTGGGGTAATCAAGTTTTTCTGTCTTGCTAATCTGAGTACTTTTTCAGATCAGGGATATGACCAATTCATTTGTATGCTTCCAATAGCCAGCATATGCTGGGTATATAAGAGTACTCAACTATAAGCCTTATAAATTAACTAGAGACCTGGTGCACAAAATTCGTGCACAGATAGGGTCCCTAGGTATGGCCAGTGATGAAGGCTGATCTGTGGGGTGACCAGTGGGATGATCGGGAGGCCCCCACTGGCACCGGCCTTGGCTGGCCTGGCACCACCCACTCACTGGCCCCAACCCCTGCTGCCACAGCTGCTGGTCGCCTACCTCTGCGGGGCAACCAGCGGGGCAATTGGGGGGACCCCCACTGGCACCTGCCTTGGCTGGTCTGGGGCCTCTGGGCTGGGGGCAGCTCCTGTGTTGAGTGTCTGCCCCCTGATGGTCAGTGCGTGTCACAGTGACCAGTCGTTCCACAAATTGTTTTGCCATTTGGTTGATTTGCATATTAGGCTTTTATTATATAGGATGCTTTATTTAAGCTTTGAAGAAGCTAATGGATAAAAAGTCAGCGTAAAACAAGCTATTTGAGAATAAACCATAAAGTGAATTTTCTAAAGCATTGGAAGTATATATGAATTATAAGTGAGCAGAGGAAATATACATTTTCTGGAAAAAAGTATTAAAGTTCTGATTCTTTGTGATATCTTGACATCTTTCTAAATAAGTTTTACTCTCCTCACTTGGTAAGCTGGCTTCTCTCCCCATTTTTGTTATTTTGTTTCCAACAATGCTTGGAATAAAAAAAAATGCAGTTGGCAGTCTGGGCTTCCCACATGAATAATAATAATAATAAAAAAGATATACAGGAATGGCTCTGAATCGAAGGAGGAAATAATCTTCCACTAGTCCTCTATTTTTACATGAATCTTGAGTGTTTCTGGATTTCAGCTTTTCTTTTAAAATTTTCTCATGAAAATCAGCCTTGTCATCTACTAACCCAAGTGAACAAATTGCCTCATTCCTGCCTCCTCTGATCCAAGAAATACAAAATTAAGAGGAAGTAGTATGTAGAAATAGCTTACATTTTCCATGTTAAAACTCCAGATCTTTACTTAAACTCTTTGTGACAGTAGAAAATTAAACTATTGACGTTTCAGTATCCTCTAAAATAAAATGCAGTGAATAATGACTACTCTGTAAGATGTTTCAAGATTAGAGATAATGTATGTAAAATATTCAAATAAATTAATTGTAGCACAATAAATGGGAGTCAATCTTATGAAACCTTGATTTTATATTTTAATCAGTGGTAATCTCTGATGCATTTACATACAAATTCATTTGAAACTTATACAATTAAAAATCATAGCCTTATCACCCCATAAAGCAAACACTACCTAACTCTGGAGCCAGCTACATAGAGACTTCTTTTTATTTGTCCTCAAGTTACCTATTTCAATCCAGGTGTCATAGATATGTACTATAGTGGGGAATCAGTAACAAATTCAGGCCATCTCATTCATTCCACTGTGATTTTATAGGTCTTAAGAATAAGTTAAAAATTGTCTAACTTAATTTCACCAGAGAAGCAAAGAAATGTCACTGAAAGGAAGCACTCTAAGAAGCTATATAGGCAGTCTCTCCATCATTCTCTCTCCTAAAATGTTACCTCAAGATCTCTTCTCTGTTCAATCCTTAGAATATTTTATGAATTTATTGTGTTCAATTTGGGTTTCCCTTGAATAACTGCTTTTAACTTTCTTCTTTTCAGCATGAATAAGGGAAAAACTAAATGTATGTCATTCACTGGAAATGTTTTTCAACTTATTCTCTCAGCTGCCACAGAGGCAAACAAAGGGAGAAACAGCTATGTAAGCTAATTTGAGACAGGCATTAAAAAGTAATCTTTATTTTATTTTGTTCAATATTAACATTCCATTAATAGAAAAATATATCTAAGATTGGTGTTTTAAAACTAAACTTCACTCTACATTCTGTTTGGTGGGTAAAGTCAATGTTGAGCCAATCTTTTCTATACTCATCCACCTATCTTCTCATCCATTGTCCAATGATTTATTGAACACCTACTATGTCCAAAGCAGGAAGAAATACTAAGAGATGAAAAAACACTTATTTTACTCAGCCATATTCTATGTTTCAAAACAAGTGGTTGAAAATTACCTGTTTCTAAGTATTCATAGAATAGTCCAAGACTTCCAAAAGTCTCAAGGTCATGATCCTGCTCCCATCGACTGTATAACTTTTCAGAGTTGGTCCGAGCTTTTCGGCGTCTCCACCAATTCAGAGCCAACCTGTTGGAAGTGAGAGAAGTAAATACATGAAATAGTGTTTTAAAAGGGTTATAGAATCAGATCTAGAAATTGGAAGTAAGATAGGTTAAGTAATTTAAGATCACAGAGCAAGTAGAGCTAAAGTCCAAATCAAAATCTAGTGTTCTTTTCATAACATGTGCCAGAGTCAAAAGTTCTTTATTGGAGTGATTAAGAAAATGTAATAACCCTGAATCTTCCCATGGAATACATTTAACCAGAGACAGTTCTGTTAAAGAGCACGTGGAGAAGAGGATCACCATAGGGCTGTTTTTTTCTATTTAATTTACTAACTTTTTTCTTTGTTTGTATATATCTTTTTATTTTTTAAATTTATCTTTATTGTTGAAAGTACTTCAGATAGCCTCCTTTTCCCCTCCATTTACTCTTTCCACCCTGCACCCACCCCTCCCAGGCCTTCACCACACTATTAACTTAAACATTTGCTAAAAAAAAGCACCATGATAATAGAAGAATTTCATCTTCTTCCAGAGAAAATTTCTCATGATTACTTAAATCAAGCAAAAACTTCTAAGTCACACATATGGATAAATGGCTTCTTGAATGTTTCCGAAGATCTGTTTCCCATTCATTATGATAGTCAACTGGATTGTCAATCTATAAGGGCTATGCATATATGCATATAAATTCCAAGGTTAATCTCTCCCCAGTCTCCCCACCCCCACCTTCCCTCTGAGATTCATCAATCTGTTCTTTATGTTGTAATGATATTAAGAAGAACACTCAAGAAAGTAAGAAACTGCTTAAAATAGAAAATGCACGACAACAAAAACACAGAGGCTTATCTAATCCATGAAAATAAATGAAATAATCCTAAGCAAAATATGACCTAACTAAATTCCATACTATATAAAAAATAAAATATATATATA